TCAAATGCGGCCCAATTAGACAGCATGTTTCTGTGAACTTATAGGACGTCAGTGGAGGAGGCAGTGCTTTAATGTGGCCCAGGACACATTGGTGTTTACACTACAAAAGATATGTTGTCAAATGCGTCCTAGACCACGTCAGTAAGTGGTTTGAGTGATCAGATCACAATGAGTCTTGGCGGTCGTTTACACCCTTTATTTGAAGCTGTACATTTGTGATCAGATCACCCAGGATGCATGTAAATACAAGGTGTAAACAGGTTGGTTAAATTGAAGCTAAGGGACACAGGCTTGAACATATTACATATTGAATGTAATACTGAAGTCGATTTACCTCCAAATGAAGCTAAAATAATTAATTATTGCTAAAGCAATAGAAACAGAGGTTTCTGAAGGACATCAAAAACAGAGGAAAATGGGGAACCTAGATAGCTCACTTGGTATAGCTGGCGACCCATGTACCAAGGCCAATCCCGATATATGATAAAACTCTGATATGTGGCCCTTTGCTGTGTGTCATCCCCTGTCTCTCCTGTCACTCTTGGGCTGCATTATCAACTAAAAAAGGCAATACAAAAAAACCCAAGTATATTTAAAAAACTGACGAAAGTAATCAATATAGGTTGATTTTATGTTACTAAACCCTTGTTGTTATCCACTTCACATCCCCATGATGTCTCAGTCGGTGGTTATAGAGCAATGGAATACATCAGAGGGATTTATGGGCAACCCTGCTGAATGTTCAGTGTGAATCCTTTTAAATAAACAACAAACTGAAATGGAAACTTGATCTGCCACACTTGTCTTTATCACTCAGTGTCTCTCAGTTATTTTAGGCTTATCAAATATGGTGCAACTAAAGTTTGAGGGAAGATTAATTAAAATGATGAGTGCACTTATGGACACTGTCAGGAATTTTTGGAGAAATTAATTTAGCCACTGAGATAAGTTGCACAATTTGAACATTGTTTATGTCATGTTGTGTTGTTGTATCTACCTTAAACCACATTTGGAGCCGGTAAGTGATAATATTCAGAGAACAATACGAGAAAGAGGTTTTGCTCTAGTGCCTATAACTAATATGACTGTTTACTAGCTAAAATTAACATTGTCAGATTGTCACATTGTGAAAACTGTTGCACCAAAAGTCTTTATAATAGACAATGTTAAGTAATTAACAGTGTACAACTGAAAAGAATGATATTTTTTTTGCACTTCTTATATTCACTTGTATGATATGAATTTTTTTTTTTCTTCTTACATAGCTAAGTTCAAAGAGATCTGTCCCGGTGGAATGGGCTACACTGTTATACCAAATCCACCTGTCAATAAGCCAGTCACCGTTTACCAGCAGCCCATTGACCTGCTACCACCGCAACCCCTGCCAACACCAGAGAGACCAGTGGAAGCTTTTGGGAAACCAGAAGAGATTTTGCCAGGTATGTCTCTCTAGCACGAACTAGATGCTTGATGCACATCATCGGGCTTCAGTAGCTTGCTCAAGGACACTTCGATATGCAGCAGAAGGAGCTGGGGATCAAACTGCCACCTTACTTGATTAAAGTAAGTTAAGGATTGATGTAGATTAGCTAGCTACTTAGGTAGCATTTGGCTAACTTAAGATGTGACTATATATATATATATATATATATATATATCTCATGTCCTTTTCAA